TGATCACTTTTGCGCCACCTTTAGCCTTGAGTTGCTTCAGTCGCGATTTCCCGAGTACATAAATACATCCCCAGCGTTCGTTGTATACACAGGCGTCATGCAGCTCATATCTCTCACGTCGGTCGTGCTGGCTTCTTGGGCATTCCAGCAAGCTGCTGCTCTTCCCGAGATCCAAGAGAACACCAACATCATCACTGTTGCCCAGAGCGTTCAGGAGAAGCACCCCGAGGCATTCGCTGCTTTCCAAAAGTCAAACCTCATTAACCTCGTAGCGACCAACGAGAAGCGACAAGCGGTTCCCGGAGATGGGAACCCCGACCCCAACCGCCCGCCGGTGATTCCCGAGAACATTTTCCTCCTCCAATGCTCCGAGGCCGGATTCCTTGGCGAATGCCTCTCGTGGGGTGCTCCTCCAGGACGATGCGGTGCGTCTAAACATATGGCGGCGGCATCACTCAATCAGAGGCCTAGTTGCTGACGTAGAATCCCATTTAGTCAACTATTCCAGCTTCAACAAGACCCAGGCTTTCCTTGACAAGTACGAGAACCAGACTACTTCTTTGAGTTCAAACACCGGCGGACTGTGCCAGTTCTACAAATTCATGTGAGTATCCTCGTAGACTCATTCTCACTGTTTCTCAACTGACATTCAAATAGCAACTGCAACAACAAAGGTGATGACCGTGGTGTTTCGCTCAGTTACAACTACAACCTCGCCGTGGCGGATGACCAGGGCTATTCGGGAGACTATGACAACCAGATCAGCTCTTGTAAGTGTTGACGAAATATGGACCAGCTTTTTGAGTGTTCGCTGACAACTGCTGCAGGGAGATGTTGAACCCCTCAATGGAGTGGGATGGTCGTGCAGTCTGAGAAATGACGACAGTCCTGGCTCTAGGGCTGTACTTACATGTGTGTACGTATGAACTGACTTACGCGTCGACGCCAACAAATAGACATGATTGAGCCGAACAATCCCACGGGTTACCTGACAGTGAAGTCGAAGCTGATGCAGCTATTGGCTATGTACTGTGAGCCAGTCAATGTTGCACATGGTGTTTGGACTCTACGAGCCTAGTAAATTGGCATGATGTAACGAATGAAACACAGAGGAGAGCGATAGAATAATTGGAATAGGCAGATTTGCCACGCAGCTTCACTTCTTACTGCGACTTGTTTCTCTCCTCTTCTTGTTGCTCTCTGCGATTAGAAACTCGAAAGTGATCATCATGCTGGTAGCGGAAAGTGGTAGATGGCGATTGTCAGGTATTCTTCAAGTGTCAAGATGGTATTCTCTATGAAAATGTGGCAAGATAATACGCTTAGTAGTACCGAGAGAACTGTCTAACGTGTCTCTTCCTGAACTTGGTATCCTCAGTGGTGCTGTTGATGCTAGCCGCCAGGGTAGCATCCAGCTCAGTGACAACGCCGGTGTCAACCGGCTTGCCCAAGTTCTCCGACGCAGGCCTAACAACATCGCAACGCAAGGCTTGAGCTGTGCTCATCCTCTCCATGTGAGTGTTGTTCGTCTGCACAAACAGACGCTCACGGCCCTCAGGACCAGTGAATGGTCTCCACTCGGCAGCACCCTTCTCGCGGTCGGTGTTGGGGTCAAGGTTGCGGATGAACGAGACCCAGTACTTGCGGAACTGCGAGATGATGGGCTTGTTGATGGTGAAATAGGACTCGGGCGCTTGACCATCGGTTCTGTTGTTGCCCCAGAACGCGTAGGTGTTCACAGTGTGGTACGCACCGAAGCCTTCGGCCTCGTTCTTGGGGTCCTGGACGGCGAACTTGTAGTTGTAGGTGATGGCTTCGTCGCGAGCAAGGTAGTTCTGGATGTTGCGGATAATACAGTGGTTGCCAATGTCACCGATCGCGTCGGCGGTTTGTCTCCACTTGACTCCGGAATCAGGGTAGACGGTACGAGGAGTGTTGATGTACAGATCGTCAAGGATGGCGAGGGAGGCGTTGGACAGGGAGGGATCTTGTCCAAGGAGCCAAGTGTTGGCTTCCTCGGTAGAGTTGGTAGACTGAGGAGCAGAGTACATGGTTCCCTCCTGAGCGCAAGAACCCCAGATTGTGGGGACCTTGTTGTATTTGCCCTGCTTGAAGAGGTTGACCATGCTGTCGGTGAAGAGCTCGCCATCGATACCTGGGTTGAACCAGCAGCTTGAAGAGCGGACTTCAGACTGGTTCAAGGCACGAAGGCAATTAAGAGAGTCAGTCGCATCAGTGCAGTTCTTTTCCTTGACGAGGCAATCGTACTGGCCCTGTCCCTGCTCCATGGTACGCATCGTAACCCAGCCGCCAGACTCCGCGATACCTCCGGCAAAGAGCTGCTTGCTGCCGAGATCAGCAGTCATGAGAAGACCGACAGCTGAACCGCCGGCACTGACACCGTCAAGAACAACCTGCTCTGGGTTTCCGCCAAAGTGTCCAATATTGGTCTGAACCCACTCAAGAGCCTTCACCATATCCTTGACTCCGGCGTTGAGACCGCCGCTGGAGCGGACCTCCTCGCCCTGGAGGAAGCCGTACATGCCAACTCTGTAGTTGATCTGAACAACAATGACGTTTCCATCCCAAGCAATCTCGCTGGCATCCCAGTTTGCGTTCGAGTTGGATCCGAACCCACCACCCTGGAGGAAAAAAACAACGGGCAGTCTAGAGTCGGTCTGCGCATCTGAGGGGGCCGTAACACTGAGGTAGAGGCAGTCCTCATCGACGGTGAAGCGCGGGTTGGTGCTGGAAACAGTCCAATCAGTGGGCTGCTGCGGAGGGCAGATGGGGCCGTGTGCCGTGGCATTGACAAGTCCGGACTGGACCGGGTCGGCCGGCGCGGCGAAGCGGAGGTCGCCCACCGGAGGGGCAGCAAATTGGATTCCCTTCCAAGTTGTCACACCGAGCTCCGCATCGGTCACGGCACCCTGGAACTTGGCGTATCCGACATCAACGAGGGTGTCGACGGCCTGGGCACCCGGGGCGAAGAAACCCGCTGCGGCGAGAATGAAAGCCAAGTGTGATCCTTGCCACATCTTGTTGGTACGTCTAGGTTTTCGGTGGTTAAATGAAGGTAGTCGAGGAAATCTCGAGGAAAGAACGGAACGGTCTGCAAAGCGACCTTGAAGAAAAGAATGAAAGTAGTGCAAGCACTTGCAAACGAGAAGACGAAAGATAGCTGAGAAGTCAATCAAAAGTCTCTCAATCTCATTACGGACGTCTATACTCCGGCGGTTATATACATTTTGTATGCAGACTCTTCAGCCTATTTCAACATCTCCTTCCCCTAGATCTGGAGGCCCGATAACCCCGAACAGTCCTGTCTACAGTGCTACGGTACGCTTTCGAGTCAGATCTCTTCTCTCTAATTGAAACGCTGCGGACGGTAGCGCTCCTTGGAGCTAGCACGCCACGGAGCAATCCGTAATGCTACCCCACTACAGCGGAAGTTTAATAGATGGGACGAACCTTAGATCTTTACCTGATTGCCATAGTGTAGAATCACCGCCCCTGAGCGGCTACAAAGTTGAGAACTGAGATACTGGGCCGAATCACCGGACTTGGTAGGATTAGTACCTACCACCCCAAAAGCCAGGAGCACAACGTGGCCGAAAACATGATCGGCGCGGTGAATGCCTCATCATCTTCACCATTAGGTCCAGTCCACAACAATAACTTCGCCTATTAGACAAAGTCCGAGATCGTAAGACTTTCGACTAGAGTTTCACTTTAATGCCTAACACTGCCTTCACCAAAAAGTACGTACGATTCCGAACCCGAACGCTCGGGAAAGCGTATGGGTGCAATTTTTCAGGGGCGGAGGGTGGGAGGTGGGCTCTAATAGAAAGTGGAATGCCAAGATAGCCTAGATGAAACGTAGTCGCATCTGCCACCACTTTTATACAGCGGTCCTCGCACATTAAGTGAAGTCCGGGGCCCCAAAGGCAAGGGCTGCGGACTTTTCCGCCGCTGGACTTGACGATTCGACGAGAAATACGATACTTGAACGTCTACGTACACGTACAGGCAGAGGTCGTCGCCAAGCATCGTTACGTTGGAACAGTGGCGCAAACTCTGTCGGACCTACGGCTCGAATTCGGTGACTGCTAGATGTAAGTTCATCACGGAACCAGGCCTATTCTCTTAGGTCTGCGATTTTCCAAACTCTATGACTCTCAATACAAATTGCTATTCATTCTATTCCGCTGTGAACTTGGGCTCTGGAACTTCGTTCTCGCTTACCAAGTTACCCCTGAGCCCAGACCCCTATTAAGCTTAATCACTTCTCGACTCGGAGGGTGAACCAGCCTTTGAAAGAGAGTTCAGAATCAATCATTCTGCGGGGACGCAGTCGTACTTGCTTGCACCTGATTGGCACCCAGGCATCATGCGTAGACGGACCTTATTCCGTAACGTGTACTTACAAAAGCAGCCCCTAAACTCATTCGACGGGAGAGGCGGCAGAGACACCAGTTGAGGCTTTGGCAGAAGCGGCGCGCACTTCACTGAGGCAGCCTGGAAATCGCACGAAAGTGCTGGCTGAGCGGTGAGCACTGGCTTTGACTACTAGTTTGCAACATTCCTTTGATACGACTGCTGCTGTTCGTAACACAGTCCGGCAAGGGAGACCAGCATTACGTACACGTTACACAGGCCCAGGACAGTCTTGGTGACGCCTGAGACATATGGTAAAGTACTTTCAAATCCCTGAAGATAAAACCTGGCCCTGGAATGGGCTCTGCTTTTAGCCGTTTCATTGCCTCTGTCGTCTGACGGGCAGCAATGGCTGATAAATGGGTTTGAATTTATTGCGGAGTTCGTTGTTGTTCAGTGTTCAGGACAATTGGAAAGAAGCAAGAAACGAACAGAATCCGATACTCGTAGATCCATCTACCAGAATCCTTCATTGACACGGCTACAGGGAGGTGCCCCCACAGAGTCTTTGAGTTGACGGCCTGTTCAGTCAGCCCCATAATGCAGACAAACCTCAATGATATCAGCGATACGCCTGCCGTGTTACACGGCAGTGCTCAATCGATTCTCTCCTTTGAAATGATTCTCTGCATGCTGCCATAACGCTTCTTCTGTTTGTCCCGCTCAGAATCTAGGTGTAGGTGGTCATGTGGTGAGATTCTCAAGGTTGACTGTTCGTCAGTCTACTCTCCAGCCAAACCATGCACGATGCGTTGAAAGGTACATAAGAATCTACACCCCGACTATTGAGGGTTTCACTTCGATGAAAAGCTGCTTTACAATTCTCGGAGCAGATTTTTCATGCTCAAAATGGTTATCCTGCACCTCCTGACTCTCGGCCTCACCGCAACTGCGATGGCATCTCCTGCCTCGTCCAACGGCGCAACACCCACAGACCCAAAGGACACCCTCGTTAGAAAGGATGACTGGGACAAGTACCTCAAATACAAGGCCAGATTAGGCACTCAGGCTTCCGAACAGGGAGTCGTGCAACGCATATGCGACCTGGTCCTCTGTCTCGGTCCAAACCACACCGGAGAATGCAGCCTATGGTGCCACTATAAAGGGGAGCTTCAGAGCTTCGAAGAAGCGAAGCAGCGGGAGATCACGATGTCGACGTATTTCACAATGTCCGATCGTTGTAACTTCTACGCGTACGTTGTGTTTAGGCCTTCGCAGCACCGAATAATGAACCAAAAAGCTGACTATGGGATGCAACTTGACTAGTTCTGGTGCGAAGAAGTGTGATATACCAACACTGATGAGCCAGTCTACCTTCCACCAGCTTATCTACCATGGAGGAGTCATACCTGAGGGCAATTTCATGGATAGACTGAAGGGAAAGATGGGGTGCGTGATCTGCTCCGACGATCCCAACCTGCATCCTGATTCGGCGCTTTGAGAGACCGTAGACCGGCTAGGTGCTGTATTAAAGGCCTAACAAAGGCAGCATTAATGGTGCATTTATCCTATGGCACTTTGGCTACGCTCATTACATTGGGAGAAAAGTCTTTTACGAATTGGTGTCTACTCTAAGCTATGATATGAAAAGACGACAAGTAATTCGCCTGAAATCAGGAGTAATGAATAACTTGATGGTGCCACCCTGACGTGATATTCAGAAGGATTAGTAGTTTTGTGGCATGAAAACGGCATTTGGGGGTTCGTAAGCTCGGATGTTGAGAGAGACCAGGTTTGCACGCTTGGCGTAACGGCATGCACGTTTCCTGCTGCAGAAGGTGATCGCATCACTTAGAGATGTTTGCGAACCTATTCCACACGGAAATTTGGTCAAGTCGGCTACTTGGTAGAGCCCGGGAAAGTGATCCTCGGCCCCGGGACTCCCAGGCCGATCCGGAGCTTCGAGGCTGTGAAACTTGTGCCACGGCGAAGGTAACGCCCCGCCGCGCTCCACCGTTGCGGGGATCATCTGGAAATGATTTCTAATGCATGCGTCACCTTCAAATCTCGAAGGGCTGATTTTCGCCTCGTCTAAATCTCAAAAGCGAAGAAGCACCAAGTGAAGCGAGAGACGTCACGGATACATCCATATAGAAGGGACAGAGACAACGACAAGCAATTATGAGCACCGACACGCAAGTCCAACGCTGGCAGACCCGCCAAGACGGGCTGGACAAGCTCTTCCTCTCCACGGCGCCCCTGCCGCAGCCCGGGCCGGGCGAGGTGCTCGTCAAGATCAGCGCCGTGTCTCTCAACTACCGAGACACGGAGGTGGCCATGGGCCTCTACAACCACCACAAGACCATCAACCCGGCCGAGACGGAGCCCATCGTCCCGGCTTCGGACATGTGCGGCTCCGTCGTCTCTGTAGGCGACGACGTCAGCAGGTGGAAGGCTGGCGATCGCGTCGTTTCGATTTTCAATCAAACGCATCTCAAGGGCCAGATTAAGCCCGTGCATATGAAAAGCGGTCTTGGGTTTCCGTTGGAAGGTGTCTTGCAGACGCACCGCGTCTTCTCTGCTGAGGGGTTGGTTCGAGCGCCCAAGTATCTGAGCGACGAAGAGGCCGCGACTCTTCCCATTGCTGCTGTGACGGCTTGGATGTCAATCAACCAATTCCGGCCTTTGGGCCAGCCTGGCGGAGAGGGCGAGGTTGTGGTATGTCAGGGGACTGGTGGTGTAGCCATTTCGGGACTGCAAATTGCAAAGGCTTCAGGGGCCACGGGTAAGTGATGGGCGCGCCAACGGCTCACGGCTTTGTTTAATGCCGCTAACAATAATCGCGATCAGTCATCATCACGTCTTCCTCGGACGAAAAATTGGAAAAGGCAAAGGCTCTCGGGGCGGATTACACCGTAAACTACCGGACCACGCCCAACTGGGACGACAAAGTTAACGAATTCACCAACGGCGAGGGCGCCAACCTCATCCTCGAAACGGGCGGGGCCAAGACGCTGCGACAATCCTTTGAGGCAATTGGCTTCGGCGGGCAGATTGCATGCATCGGATATCTCTCTGGTAAAGTCGACGACGTGGACGACCGGACAAATGTCAACTTGCTCGCGTTAAAGAAGACTGTGACGCTCAAGGGTCTGATCAACGGTCCGAGGGAGCGATTCGAGGAGATGATTAACTTTTACGAGGATAAGGGTATCAAGCCGGTTGTTGACCGTGTGTTCGAGTTCAAGGAGGCGGATAAGGCGTACAATTACCTGTACAGTGGCGGACACTTTGGCAAGGTTGTCGTCAAGGTCCAGGAATGAGCGTGACATCGAAGCTATGGCCAAATACAATCTATTGAGATGAACTCATGGCTCTCATGTGGAATTAAGAAGACTGACGAGAGTGGCATAGTGTGATGAGAATACGGGGTTGACAGCTCAGTGAGCCGAGGCATGTCCTGCAAGCCGATGGACTCGGACAATGATACCCCGCACCGGGGAAGCAAATGAAGCATGGGGAAGTCAGGGACCCTGAGCTGTTTAGCTGACTCGGGGGCTGTCAAAATCCCCTGCAACTCGCCCGTTGCAGCTGTGTGTCGCCGGATGCGATGGTGCTGCAGCTCACCTCACTCAATTGGAACTCACATGTCAGCTGTGCGTCTCGTCGTCAGCTTAGTGAGCTTCGTTGGCTTCATTGTGAATCTCATCTCATGCTTCACCTCACTCTCTCACTCTCACTCTCACTCGCCCCCTCACTGAGAGTATCCCTCATCTTCCCACCTCGTGCTTCATATCACAAAACATCTCCATCTCATAGAAAAGCAATCAAATAATCTTTCCGATCCTCAAGCCCCATTCCCTGAGCTCCCACGCGCCGGAACAGACGGCGTCGCAGATCGGCCCTCCGCGGACTTTGCCCCCCTGCGCCTCAATTCACGCCGTCGAACCAGAGCAGTGAAGCACCCAAGCTCCCAGAGGCAGATAGAAACCGTCTTCCCCCCCGCAACCACGAGTGTCATCCCACCACATACAACCACGTTCGTGCCTCTTTCTAGCAGGTCGTAACACCATAAGCCAATCTGCGAGCTCTTGGAAAACAGCTCTATTCGGCCGAGACACCTCTTTTCAGTCTTCAGTGACCGGAGAATCAGGCAATTCGTCCGCCCAGCCCGCCAAGATACCACCTTGATATCCCGACCAACCCACCCCGGACTTCCCATTTCACCTGGTCTGCCGTATTCACTTCTTCATAAAGCTGACAGACAACCCATCCTCCTCTTCTTCAACATTCAAAACCAAAAGGGCTATGGCGCCTCAACTGCAAAACGTGCGCGACATCTTCCCCCTCCCCCAAACACCAACCCAAACCCTCGCCACCCTCGCTGGCCTAGGCGCCTCCGCCTGGCTTCTCAAGCTCATCGTCCGCCACATCCTCCTGCGCAGCCCCGCGAAACCCTCCCACGGCTCCCCCTCCACAGCAGGGCCGACCTTCGCCGCAATGAGCGCAGATAAGAAGAAGGAGCTCCTCGAGCGGCCCGCTATCATCGTCGGCGGCGGGCTAGCGGGCCTCGTCGCCGCCTTTGAGCTCTCGGAGCGCGGCGTGCCGACCATCATCATCGATCAGGAAAACGAGGCGAATCTCGGCGGCCAGGCCTTCTGGTCACTTGGCGGCATCTTTTGCGTCGACTCGACGGAGCAGCGAAGGATGGGCATCAAGGATTCGAGGGAGCTCGCTATGCGGGACTGGTTCGGCTCCGCGCAGTTTGACCGCGAGAAGGAGGATACCTGGCCGAGGAGGTGGGCCGAGGCCTTTGTCAACTTCGCCTCGGACGAGATGGAGCAGTACGTCAAGGCCAGGGGCATGGGCTTCCTCTTCAACGTCGGCTGGGCCGAGAGAGGCGCCGGCATGGCCGAGGGACACGGCAACTCGGTGCCGCGGTTCCACGTTACCTGGGGTACGGGGCCGGAGGTCGTGAGGGTGTTTGAGGAGCCCGTGAGGCGCGCGGCCAAGAATGGTGTCGTGCAGTTCCGCTTCCGACACCGCGTGGACGAGATCATCACCGACGAGACGGGTCGCGCGATTGGCGTTCGCGGAAAGGTCCTCGCTCCCGACAACTCTGCCCGCGGCGTCAAGTCCAACCGTGATATCGCAGGCGATTTCGAGATATTCGGCTCCGCCGTGGCAGCAACATCCGGCGGCATCGGAGGAAACGTCGAAGCCGTAAAGGCAGCATGGCCCATCGACCGTCTGGGCCCCAAAGTCCCCGAGAATTTCGTCGTCGGCGTCCCAGCCCACGTCGACGGCCGCATGATTGGTATCGCAGAAACAGTCGGCGCCAACGTCATCAACCGCGACCGCATGTGGCACTACACTGAAGGCTTGCAAAACTGGAACCCAATCTGGCCCAACCACGGCATCCGCGTCCTCCCGGCGCCGAGCTCGCTGTGGCTCGACGCGACGGGCAAGCGTCTCCCACCCTTCCTCTTCCCCGGCACCGACACCCTCGGCACGCTGAAGCACATCTGCGCCACGGGGTACGACTACACCTGGTTCATCCTCGACCAGAGCATCATCGCGCGCGAGTTCGCGCTCTCGGGCTCGGAGCAGAACCCGGACGTCACAGGCAAGAGTATGTGGCAGCTCCTCACGCGCGTGTTCGGCAAAAAGGGCACCGTTCCCGTACAGAATTTCCAAAAGTACGGCAAGGACTTTGTCGTGAAAGATAACCTCGCCGACCTGGTGCAGGGCATGAACGAGCTGCAGCGCGAGCGCGGCGGGCCGGTGCTGAGCCTGGAGGACATCAAGGAGACGATTGAGATCCGCGACGGGCAGTTTGATAACGCCTACTCCAAGGACGCGCAGGCCATGCTCATCAATAATGGACGGACATACTGGGCGGATAAGAGGAGTCGTATCGCGCCGCCGCACAAGTTGCTGGATCCCAAGCATGGGCCGCTGATTGCTGTGAGGATGAACCTGTTGACGCGCAAGACGCTGGGCGGTATTGAGACAAATCTGGAGAGTAACGTCATGAAGGCGGATGGGGAGAAGTTCCCTGGTTTGTATGCGGCTGGTGAGGCAGCAGGCTTCGGCGGCGGCGGTGTTCACGGATACAACAGCTTGGAGGGCACGTTCTTGGGAGGCTGCATCTTTTCCGGAAGGGCAGCGGGACGCGGGATGGCGGATGAGCTCTTGGGGCCAGCGGAGGCTAAGGGACCAAAGTCGTACCTGTGATTGTTGAGGTAAGAAGTGTAGTAAGTATCTGTAATGAAGAGGGCGCGATGAACGTCATGGGTTGTCAACATTCAAACTTGAGTGGATATCATTACTATCAAAACATTTGGTATGGTAAAGCTTCACGAGTCTGGACCCTTCAGGAAGGCCGATGTTCGCACTCTCTCCATCTTGACTTCTGTCGTCACTCGGATCTGGCCCTGCCTGGCCCATTCTCCGCCGACCAAGTCATCCGACTTGCGCACTTCGACAGTCATGCCTGATGCTGGCGATCGTATCCCTCCGGCGTACCCACGCTCCTCGTCCCCGCCCATATCGCTCTCCGTGTCTACCGTCTGCTTCTTCGATCGTGCGGTCAGCTCCACTTCGTCATCGCCTCGTCGCGGTTGTGTGTGGGTTTTGGAATTAGTCACTTTGGACATGGAGTTGCTGGCTTGTGATATCGTCTTGCGGACCATGGACTTGAGCCATGGCGGCGTGTAGTGTGAGATCATTGGTCGCAGGTGGGGGAGACACGCGGCGATGATGTAGGTTCCTGTTTCGATGATACTCCAGCCGACGAGACCGACGGATGCCCCTAGTCAGAGTGTTAGTCAACTTGCGCACCTTCAAGAGTACTACCAAGTATCACTCACATGTACGGTCCGAAAAGGCAGAGTTGCTAAAGAAAATGACAGCTCTGATGATACTGGCAACAATACCACTGCGAACTCGTCAGTCTCGGGGACAACTTCCGCTCCTGCCCAACACGAATTAAACTTACAAACTGCCAATCATGAAGATGCCGATGAGCGCAATGCGCTTGTGCGTCGGCAGCTTCAGGTCCCAAATAGTCTTGAGCGGCAAAGTCATGATGAAAAAGTCCAACACGAATCCCGGAATGCTCTGTGCATGGAAAAAGGCCTGAACGTCGACACACTTTCCGCCAGGAATTGTCCGGTCCCACCAGAATTCGATGGGCTGACACTGGAAGCACGCAGTGATGATGAAGGAGAAGCTCGTCGCGGCCAGAGTCGCCAGCAGCACGTAGGCTGTGGTTCGCATAGCCCCCTTCCAGTTGAAAACGCGCAGGTACAGGCAGACGATGCCCATCTTGGGCAGCGCAACGGAGGTGAAGTAGATGATCTCAAACGCGAGGATGCACTTCGCCCACCCCGTCAGGAGGGCTGGGTGAAACTCCTCGACGAATTCAACGTGTCGTCCAACACCGCCGACTTTAACCATGACTGACGGATACAGAGTTAGTCGAGAGTTCGGACCTCGAAAACCACGCCATTTGCGCGCTGGGCAGAAAACCTACCGATGCCGACGGCGCACATCCCTAAGTCCACCACGTAGGCTGCCGCCAGGAAATAGTCGTCCAAGCCATACCCGCCAGCAGTAAACCGTTTTGCAAATAGTCGCAGGCCGAGAAAAAAGGTCGTAAGGACGGCAAAGGCGATGGATATGCCTATTAGCGTGCCGCCAGAATCTTCCGCGAGATATTCGGCTGTCACGTTGTGTGTAGTTTCGCCTTCGGCGGCCAAGACAAGGCCGGACATTGTGAGTCGTCGAGGGCAAGCTGAGCCGATCCACGGCCAAGACACGACAGGATCATGAATCCCTTCTCTCCCTCGCTGTGAGAAAGAAACGAACCCAGAGGTCAAAAAAGAATATTAATATCGCAAAACCCGCCGCAGCCCTATCTTGGCGGTTTGCGGGACCCCTCTTTCTTTAATAACTCCCGACTTGGCACGTCCCCAGGTGCCCCATTGTGTGATGGCGAAAGGGGGGGAGGGTCCGGAGGGAGGCAGAAAAGAAGAATCTGATAATGGACGGGGGGTTGAACATTAAGATCCCCAGCGGCATGATCAGGTCATGGCCAAGAATTAAAGGCCATCTGCCGTGAGTGGTCGGCAACAAGCATAACAGGGTTATATTGGCGCCTCCTTTTTTGCCATTTGTGCATCTTTTGTGGTAATGGTTTCCACCATGCCGCATCCTAAACATGCGGAGAACGTATTCTCGGGGCTCATACTTGCCGATGCGTCCCATTGTCGGACGCTAAAGTTGGCTAAAGTTGGCCTGGTTGATTAGCACGAGGGGGACCTGGACCAGTGAGACGTTGAGATGGTGGTAAGACAGCCCCTTCAAGCGTCCTTCAAGTCCCCCCCCCCCTCAACGGCGTTGAACAGCCACACGAAGGCTACGAAGGCCACGAAGGGGGCCTCTTAGTTCAGCTCGTATGAAACGTCGCGTTCTAGAATGATCGTGGAAAGAGAGTTTGAGATGGACATGGGGTAGCCTTGTCGTCATGCTGCGGCCCTCGTCACGATCGGGCACTGGCTTCCCTTCCCATTCGTCGCAGCAGGGTACGACTCGCGACAATTGTAATCTGAGCTTCTCCACCATCCTGGAAGCTGTACTCTCCTAGGCCCGAATCGGACCCGTGCCGCAGCCTGCTGGCCACATCTTCATGGTATTGCTTTGGATGCTTCGACAAATGCTTCCTGGGAATCCCTTTTCTCTCCACCGAGGACAACGGGGGGTTTGGAAGGCGAGTTTCTGATTCGCGTCGATGAGACGTTGGAATATGACGGAGGGGGCACAGCATCAGAAGCCAATTTCTGCCTTTCATTGGTCTAGACCCCGCGTGGTTGATGGGACTTTGAAGGTTACCGCAGCCATCCGATCATCTCATTGAAGAGAAGCTAATCACATCCTGGCGAGCCTGGAAATAGACAAACACACCAAGCCTTTGGTGTTTCCTCTCCCACCTTGTTGCCCTCATTCTTCAGCATATTCTGCCCGAGCGCGGAAGTTTCCTTGCATCCTCCCTCATTCTCGCTGGGAGACGGAAAGAATGTGGTAACTCCCGGTTGCGTTCGTTGGTGAACGGCAGAAGGCGACAGCACAGATGACTCGTATCGCTCTCGCCCACGCGTGAAAGCTCTCGTCAGCCTGGCTTTCAGCGCCGTGCCGCAGCAGCGAACAACTGACCCATGCGCTCGTCTGGCGTCATGGGGTTCCTTGGTGGCCACGAAGCTGATTTTGCAGGATTCATGCTCGACCTGTCGTTGCGAAATGGCGGGAAAAGCTGAGGAAAAAGAGCTCCAGCATGCGGACTATTGTTCAGGGCCCCACGGCGATCCGTCGGCTTATGGATACGTTGAGTGGATATTGACTCCATCGCGGCCGATCCCCGATCTTGCTTCGCCTCGGTCCTATTTCCTCTTTATGCTGGCTGCGACCCGGCTGGAGATGGAAATCCTCAAGCTGCCGACGCGTCAACCCTCGAGGTATTTCAAATGCGCCATGCGTCGCTACTGCCTGCAGGCAGGTAAAATATCCAGGAGATGAACACCTTATTTGATGCCGCTATCACGTTCGTCCCTTGACTCCCAGTCTTTTAGCATGTGCGCATAGAGACGGCTCATGGTTCTGACTGCTCGCTCACCTGCTAAAGATGCTGCATCGCATATCATTCTGCCCCAGTCGATTTGCTCCTTGACGATCGTGATCAGCAGCGGGATTTTGGAGACGACTCCGTTCCTCCAGCGTCCAAAGGCGGAGTGACTGCTCAATTGGGCCCAACTTCGATTTCGTGCGTCGAGATCAGAATCCAGCGTATTGGTAAAGGCTGCAACCTGTACGAAGTATGCAGTGATTTCAGCGCTAGCTGCTGAGCCTCGGTGGTGAAGATCACAAATGTAACGGTACAGTCCTGGTGGGCGTTTCAGATCCTCATGGAGATGCATTCCTAATTCTCTCAAAAATCCGACCAGGTCTTCCCACACCAGGATTTTGACGGCCTGGTCACTCGTATTACTGCAGCCAAAGGATCATTGGCACGAGTGGTATCGAGCAAAAGTCCCCCGAGGGAAGTTTCTCCATCGGCTCGTCAGCCGTGAGTAGTAGAATGACACAACTGCGTCGAGACTCGAGAAGTAGCCAGTTCAATGCCCGTGCTGTGGGCTGGGATTCGTTCCATGATTAGAAGGGCGTGCCGGTGGGAGTAGAGCACTGCACGACGTTGGCGACCGAAAGACAAGTGCTCAGTCTGCAATCTCCATCCGGTCTCTCTCTCTCACTTAAACTTCTAGACGTCGATGCCCTGCGTATCGTAGAAGGGTGGACTGGCAATATGCGGTGCCACAAACGCATCCTAGCCTGGCATCACGGCAACTACGCTTTGTGACCGTGGTGATACTGCACATCTAATGCTCGGGATGCGACACAATGCAGGCTCGACCTCGAGCCGTTGATTCCAAACTTGCTCTCGGTGATGCATCAATACTGCGTAAGTAGTCGTGGCCCGCCGTTGCTGCAGTTCAAATGATGCCTCGATGCCTGGCGGCACGCTGGTGCAGGGTGAAGAGAAGAAAGATGACAGGAGGGGTTACCATGCCGGCGAGGATATGGTCCATCTCGGTGTCATCTTCAGGGATGGCCTTGATAGCTTCGAAGTGACCGTGTCCCAAATCGCAAGACATCTGACTGGATGCTCGTCCAAAACCAACCAGGTAGAAGAGGCCATCCGCATCCTCAGGTTTGCAACTGCGGCAACCACCAAGACATGGTGCCCTTGGGCCACATATTTGACGAGGCTCTTCGCATTGATTCGACGAATAAGGTAGCTTTCAACTCTTTTTGAACATTGGTCAGGAGGAAATCCCGGAAGTGGTATCCAACATCGAAGAAACCACCTCTCGCCCGCGCTTCCGTCGACATCAAGTCCCTACTTCGGTACGGAGTAATGCAGGCTGCATCCTGCCTAAGCTTTGCGGTTACATCGTGGACAGCATACTTCGAGGCCGCGCTGGTACCATTTCACAGGTCGCAGTCTAGTCGCATTCCGTGATGAAGGAGAATATGCTGGGGCATCGAGATCGAGATGTTTCTGAGTGCACGGGGATGCATGAGAGCACACCGGTCTGCTCAATTGGCCCATCACAGCCTGGCTCTCCTCCTTCTCAGCGCCTTCGTAGGTGGCAGAGCTGCTGATTCGGATACAGTGTCGCTTCTCGGCCCATCATTGATCCGAGCTTCCAAAGTGTCTTGTCTGGATTCCGGCGGCTTGTCCGCTGGAGGAAAACGACGAAGCGGAATCACTTATTGCATGTGTATGCGGAAGAACATGATGAGCGATGGGGTTGGCTGTTGGAGTGGCAGATGAGAAGTTGATGCCTCAATTACACACAGGAAAGAGTAGTGGCCTGAAGGCAGTGGAAAGCCACTGTCCCGATTCGACGAGGTGCGTTATCGATATGGGATTATGTCATCTTTATCACGTATCGGCTCCCAATAGGCTCACGGGTACCCGTGCATGTAAAATTCCACGGGTACCCGTGAATATGACTAAGCAAGCGGGCGGCACAGATTGACAAACGCGTCTCGCGTCAGTCTACACGTTTCTCTGCACATGGCATGGCAACTCGGCCACACGTTTCTGAGAAGGATGGAATTAGCCCCGGACAACCCAGCACTCAATTTCCTAGACGACTGTCTACCTCCTGAAAGCGAATATGAATCGCGCGATGACCTCATATTGGCAATTAACAACTGGGCGGCAACAAGGGGATACGCCTTCACGACTGGGAGATCGACCAAAGAGAAGAGTGGGCGGCGGACAATTACGTATTCGTGCGATCGGTCGTGTCATCCCCCAAGCAAAGCAATAGCGCGCCAAAGACGAACTACGAGCAGAGGAACGGGCTGTCAATTTTCCGTGCTTGCCAAGGAATCCTTGGATAAAAGCACCTGGAGCTTGAGACACCGGCCCGACAAACGGTTTTCTTCTCATAATCACCCCCCAAGCCAGCATCCGTCTGCTCACCCAACACACCGCAAGCTGACAGAGGAGGATTTTGCGAAAGTAGCCGGCCTATCAAATGCTGGCGTCGCGCCCAGAGATATCCGGACATACATACGACAAACCACAAACTCTGTAGCAACCCAACAGGATATCTACAATCATATTGCAGCCATCAAACGAGATGTTCGTGGAGGGCAGACCTCGATCCACGCACTTGCCAATCAGCTTGACGAGGAAGGCTTCTGGAGTCGAATGCAATTCGCACCAGATGGCCGCGTTACAGCTGTCTTGTTCGCCCATCCAGATTCCCTAGCCCTCCTACAAGCTTACCCAGACGTAATGTTGCTGGACTGCACTTACAAGACCAACAAGTACGGTATGCCGCTTCTTGACATAGTTGGCGTCGATGCTTGTCAGCGGTCCTTCTGTATCGCGTTCGCATTTCTCAGTGGCGAAACGGAAGATGATTATACCTGGGCTCTGGAGCGGGTCAGGTCCTTGTATGACCAGTGCAACGCTAGCCTACCTGCGGTTGTCCTCACAGATCGCTGCTTAGCATGCATCAATGCTGTAGCCGCTGTCTTTCCATCTTCGGCATCTTTGCTTTGCCTCTGGCATGCGAACAAGGCGGTGCTTCAGCATTGCTACTCTGCGTTCGACCTTGTCAAGACGAAGACAACCAGTAGCCCTGCAGCGCCGAAGTCATCGACTGACAACTGGGGAGAGTTCTACAAGTCCTGGCATTTGATTGTTAGCTCGCCGTCTGAGATGACCTTTCAGGAGCGTGTTTCTCACTTCGAGGAACGCTATCTTACGGACCATCTTGAAGAAGTCGGCTACATTACGTCCTTTTGGCTCCATCCGTACAAGGAGAAGCTAGTGAAAGCCTGGGTTGATCAGCACACGCACTTTGGCAACGTGGCTACCTCGCGGGTTGAAGGCATCCATGCTCTGCTCAAATCGCACCTAAAGAGATCCACGTTAGATCTGTTCGAGGCTTGGCGAGCGATGAAGCACGCGTTACTCAATCAGCTCTCGGATCTGAGATCTAATCAAGCCAAGCAACAGACACGAATACCGGTCGAGCTTTCGGGAACAATATATGGCGCAGTACTTGGCTGGGTATCGCATGAAGCCCTCCGGAAAGTAGAAGAGCAGCGGAAGCTGCTCAGTAAGAATGGCACAGACCATTCCTCAGTCTGTACGGGGGCCTTCTCTCGTGTGTACGGTTTGCCATGTCTACACAAATTAAAGGCTTTACAGGAACAAAATCTTGTTCTGCTACGTGAGCACTTTCATGCGCATTGGCACCTGAGGCGTGAAGGGGCGCCGCAGCTGTTACTAGAGCCTCGCCAGCGCATCGAGCCCAGGTTGCAATCGGAGAACCCCCGAATTCCGGTTTCAAGCACTAGGCGAGACCCAAGCAGCTTTGAAATCGTTGAACTCGCGTCACGGGCCCCAAGCACATGTAGTAGGTGTCATGCGGTTGGCCATATTATGACCTCAAAGGCGTGCCCTCAGCGATATTCACATTTGTTGCCTGAGCCAATTCCTACTCCAGGCCTAGCCCCAACACCGAGTGCAGTCTGTGCCACTACACGGAAAGTCACGGAAAGCCTTCCGTCGAACGCCGTACAGTCCATAATAGCCTTGACTCAATCGACTACAGATGAAGCAGTGGATGCCAGGATGTCACCACCTGAGATGCAACCACCGTCTCGGCGTTCGCGTTCGCCCTCGGTTCTAAAATACGATTCACCTCAGGCAATATACGGACGGTACTGTGCAGCGAGAACCGCCTGGTATGCCGCCCAGCCTCGTGGAAGTGTCAAAACAAACCAGGAGTATCGGAGGGCAATGGGACTTCCGCTGCGTTATGGGAAGAAATGTTATGAGTGGTGTCTTGACTACAAGCAGATGAACAAACGCTGCACCACCTCCAAGGGGTCAAGAGATTGGCTTAAGGAAGAGATGATGGCTTATCTAGACTGGGACAGAGCTGAAGAGGAACGGGTTGATGAGCTTGTCATCGCTGAGGAGGGAGAAAACCCTTTTCGAAATAGCAGGAGAGGTATGGGCGACATCTGGAAACGAGTTGAGAGAGACAACGCCGAACAGGAGGCGTTGTATGCTGAGAATCTGCCCGAAGAGTGTATTGTGGTTAAATCGTAAATTATAGGGTAATTGGAACCCAAGCCGCGGCCCCGATTGGCTCAAGACCCGTGCAGCGAACGTGCTTAGTCATATTCACGGGTACCCGTGGAATTTTACATGCACGGGTACCCGTGAGCCTATTGGGAGCCGGGTACCCGTGGAATTTTACATGCACGGGTACCCGTGAGCCTATTGGGAGCCCACGTATCTTATCGATTAGATAATGCGGGACGTCTCCTCGGGAAACCTCCCAGTTCACCGCGGGAAACGGCCTTTTACACGACGAACCCCTCGAGATAAGGATGAATAACATCAATAGCCACGGCCAACTCGGCAGATCATGCAGCGCCTTTGCCTCGATCTTGCCAGAGAGACACCTTGGACACCAGAAACATGTCGCCCGAGGCTGACAGAGGCTCCTTGCCCTCGGAGCGTCCCTACCGCTCCCACCTTCGCCCGGCCTGCCTGGCCTGCCGGAAGCGCAAGTCCCGGTGTAATGTCGACAAAAATGGAGGAACATGCTTGACTTGCCGAGCTCACGGAACACAATGCGAGTTCCCACCGGCTCCTGGTGGAGCTTCGCCGCGGCCGAAGTCTGCTTGGAGAAACGCCCAAGCCAGTAGATCAAAGGACTTGGGCCACCGGCCGTCCCCTCCACCACAGCCTCAGGCTCAGACGTTCTCCTCGGAGCTCCAGTACAATGACCAGACGAACCAGCTACCGTTGGCCGAGGCAGACCAGCGTGTGTCAAAGTCCTCAGATGGTCATCCTCCCATATTCTCACCACAGAACAAGCGGTACCCGGAACCCATTGGCGATGGCGGAGAGGATGAGGCACATATTGTGGGACCAGCAGACATTGAAGATACCCAAGTCTTGTCCACGTACTTGTCTAATGATTCGTCTGGTTTGAACCGGGGTAAGATATCAGTGACGAGCCCACGGCAAGAGCATGGAGGTGGCTCAAAGAAACCCGTTGTCTTTACCACGGTGAGGAAGCAGCCTCTTGGTCTTCCTGACGACCGGAACCCAGCCTTCTTGAAGTGTCAGATGATTGAGAAACTTCTTGAGCCAATGCTGCCCGATGTTATACAGCTGTAAGTCGCAGTCAGCTTGTACTGATGCGTATCGCGACCTGACTTGAGCTTCTAGCTTCTTTGAAAAGCCCAACCGTTGTTTCCCCTTGTTGGATAGACAGTCATTTGAGAAACGGTTCGCCGAAGACAGGAGGCACATCTCGCCAGCCCTATTGTCCTCGCTCTATGCGCATACAATGACCTACTGGGCGCAGTCCCCCGAACTCGTCACCCAACACCGTCCCGACACTAGGTTCATTTGGAACCAAGCCAACGATGCCCTTTACTCGGAAATGCACCTGTCCCCAGGCATCTCAACTTTGCTAGCCATCCTTCTCAATATCTCCGGCCGGCCATTGACTTCGATTATCGGAAACGGCCTTCAGCTTGGCTCCGCTATCTCTCTAGCTCACTCGCTTGGCTTGAACAGAGACCCTTCCGATTGGGATATTCCAGAAGCCGAGAAGCTCCTGCGAACGAAAATCTGGTGGGCCATCTTTGTGTATGATAAGTGGTATGTGCAAACACAAAGCGTAGGAATACTTCTTTGGGGCTAACGATTTACCCAGGTCGAGTCTGGCGTACGGCACGCCGCCGCAGCTCAGGAGCGGCCAGCACGACGTCGCTCTTCCCACAGTAGAGCAGCTATGCGGCTCGGCACCAAATCCAGTCGACTTCGAAGCAACGTCTGTGTACTTGGCATTTGTCGCTCTGGCCCGCTTTCTCGACAGTTACCTGGAGCGCATTTACGATCTCGAGAAGACCTCCACCACTGGCCCCTGGGATCTGGAAGTCTTGCTTACACAGTGGGAGGATTCGCTCAACAACAACATAAGGCGGAGGATCATCCGCGGGGGCGAGAGTCTCGACATACCAGGTTCAGCGAACCTACGTCTCGCGTATCTCTACATCAGACTATTGCTTCGGAAGTGGGAACTCGATGCCGAGAAGGCAGCCAACGCCGACCACACATCCTCGATCCCCATGCGTTGCTATCTTGAAGTTCGACGCTCCGCCGAGGAGATTGTGCTTCTGGTGCAAGAGCTTAAGGATCCCCAGCTTGGCGACTACTGGCTTCCAGTTCTCACCTTTGCATTTACGTCCACCATCAAGTTCCTCCTTCGCTGCGCATTAGAGACAGAGAATACCGTCAGCGGACTGGCGCAAAGCATGTCGCTGAAGCTGGCACGCGACCTCGTCAATGCGCTGCAGGTTCATCGCCAAAAGGCCTGGGACGTAGGGGACTTGTGCATTGCGCAGTACTCCGAGGTAATTGAGAAGCTTGCCACGTCCACATCGAGCGCAGAATTCTCTGAGCAGCCAGTAGACATACCCGAGCTTCAAGAGTTCGTGTCGACAAGCGTGCCTGATATCGATGAGCTCTTCCCTAGTCTATGGGATATGTTTGGCCAGTGACAAATCAGATGATCTTCAACGGCGGTCTGTAGTCTCGCTAGAGCCCAGACTGGCAATGCCGATTTCCGTCCGGAAATAATACGGACGGACTAGTCCGACGGACTACTCCGTTCACAACTTCACATCATCAACATCTAACACTGGCAAGAGCCCCAATCCCATTTCACATAAACTTCAGCATATCAACTCCAGCATCGGAAGAAGCGACCCATCACTTTGAATAATGAATACCGTTGGCAGGCCCTTGAGAGTCAAACTTCCATCTAGGATTGCGACCCATTTACCCCGCACCTTCGGCGTTAACTCTCGTAGGCTGTTTGCCGTCATCTCACCCAGGAACTCATCGATAGACTCACATAACATGGAGCCGAAAAGAGTCGCTGTGCTCTACCAAGCCATAGATCCTCCTGTCATTAACGGAGTGCGCAAGCCGATGAAGCCTGGTGGTCAGTCGTATCTCGTAAACAATATCTGCCCGCGATTTCAACTTACAGGTCTTAGGATACCGCGACTCAGGGGCCGATATCGCCTTTAATCTCCAAGCCAGCAAGTCTGTTACGGCGATCACTCCAGTCTCAACGCCCTCGCCAGAGAAAGATACCGAGTGGTGCTTCCCTGATACCGAAGAGGGGATTTTAGACGCTGTCAAGAAGGGAGCGACATATCTCTGGGCCAACACAATCTTGTTCGCATCTCATCCGATCCAGGTTTCTAAATCCCTTGGAAGTGTCCAAGATACACTCAAAGTCATTGGGCATGGGCCTCTCGTTGTTGAAAAGTACGACGACAAGGAATATGTGAATGATTTGCTTCGCCGGATCGGTGGCTTTACGATGCCTCGCTACTGGACAATCCATTCCGACCCAGCGGTAGCAACAAAGATTGAGCAGCTCGAACTGCCGTTTCCGATCGTCGCAAAACCCATTAGAGGACGGGGAAGCCACGGCGTTCGAGTCTGCCAAACACTCGAGGATCTCACCGTCCACACCAAAGTCCTCTTCCAAGAGTCACCGAGCATCATGTTGGAAGAATACCTCTCTGGCGAAGAAGCCACGGTAACCGTGATGCCTCCCAATGGAGAGAGAAAAGACTACTGGTCCTTGCCCATCGTTACGCGTTTCAATCATCAAGATGGGATTGCGCCTTACAACGGCGTGGTGGCGGTTACTGCCAACTCGAGGGTAATCACAGAAAAGGAGGAAGAGGATCCTACGTATGGACGGATCGCCAGGGAGTGTGAGGCAGCAGCGAGGATATTGGGCGTCGCGGCTCCCATTCGCATCGATGCGCGACGTTTTTCCGAGACTCCTGGGTCCGACTTTGCTCTCTTTGACGTAAACATGAAGCCGGTAAGATCGTCTCTCAAAAGTGAAGATGCCATTGAATATTTTCTAACGAATACTTCATCCAGAACATGACCGGTCCCGGGAGACCTGGGCGAGATGATCAGGCGAGCTTAACACTTCTGGCAGCTGAAGCGCTCGGATGGGACTACCCGGAGCTGTTGAGGCAAATTTTGAACACATCGTCAACTCTGAAAACACTGAGGGAATTGAAGCCAAGGGAAAACTAAAGAAATGACGAGGTTTCCTACGATTGGACACACGGCCGGCCAAATAGCGGTTTAGTGAAGCATCAAACAAAAAAATGTGAAAAGAGAAAACACCAGAGGGATGGATCATCGTGACTTCCCTCAAGGAATTCGTTGCCATGGACCCTTACGGGCGGTGTGGGTGGGGAGGTAAAGAAAAAGCCCATACGGAAAGACATCACAGGTCACACAAATTCACAAAGAGAAGGAGAAAGAGGTTTGTTTGCATTGCCAGTGTATTCTTTGTCACACCAGATAAGCAGCCTTTGCTGCTGATATCAACGAGCAGCTTGTAGCTGCCAACGACGAACGAAAACCTGATACTCGTCGAAGCTTAATCACAATAAAGAATGAATGACCCATGGACCCAAATCCTCCCTGATGCCTGTTCTCAAACCCAGTCCTTTTTGAATCCCAAGTGTTCCCATGAATGAAAATGAATCCTCCACAGATATGCCCAGAATCCACCGATCCAGGTTCCTTCCCAAACTTCTCGAGATGTTGAGATCACATGAGTGTAAAGGTGTCATGAGACCTAAGCCGAGGCCGTAACAAAGACAGTCTGAGTCTCAGTGATTACGGGCTCGACAGTGGAAGCACGAGTGAAGACCGGGGCACCGATCATGGTAGCCTCAGTGGACAAGGTGGCAAGAGGAGTCGAGGTAGAAGCGGCGGCGACCATCTCGGGATCCTTGCTGAAGGTAGTGAGGAAGAAGCTGGGCTCCGAAGTGGTGGGAGCAGCGAAGGGAGTGGAGTCGGGAGCGCTCGAGGGCATGGCAGGGTCCTCGCTGAAGGTAGTGAGGAAGAAGGAAGGAGTAGTGGGGGTAGGGCCGGAGAAGGGAGTGTAGATGAAGGTGGCAGTGCCAGTGGGACGAGGGTAATCATCCAGACCGGCGGTGCAGATGTAGGGCTTGGAGCCATCGGTTCTGGTCGCGGTGACGCACCAGCTGGAGATGCGCTCGTGGATCTCCATGGTGGTAGACTGCTCGACAGGAGCAGCCGTGGCAATCTCCATAGAGAGAACCGAGGTGATGTGAGGAGCGGTGACGACGGGAGCGTTGACCTGCCCAAGAGTGGTCTTGGTACCAATGTCCATGTTGAGAGTGGTCTTCATGGGAGCGCACATCTCCATGATGCCAGTGAGGCCAAGAGCGGGCTCGCTGATCGGGAAAGTGGTGCACTTGTTGACCTCAGTAGCGATGGGCTGCTTGTAGTCGGCCATGGTGGTATTCTGGTGAACAACCAAGGCCTCGTGGCTGATGCTCATGATGGGCTTGGAAGCGTTGAAGCCAATATCCTTGCGGATGTTATGCTTCAAGCCAGCGATGCCAGCCTGAGCGGGAATCTGAATACCAAGGCCGTTGACAGCAGCCTGGTTATCCAGAACGGGCATACCGTTGACGGCAGCGCCGATGATGGCGCCGACAGCAGTGATGGCAATGTAGGACTGGAAGGGGAATATTTGTGAGCTTCCAGAACGACGCAATTGTTTTTGAGGTTCGAGGCATGGGAAGAAGCAGAAATAAATCGCAAACGTACCTTCATTGTGACTGAGATGAGTGGGAATTAGAATTCTTGGTTGGTGATGATTTGTTGGTTGGAAGTGATGGATTGCTTTGTTGTTTGCTTGTGATTTTGAGTGTGGAAGTTGTCGGTGAAGAATAAAGTGTGTGGTGTGTGTGAGAAAAACAGAAGAAAGTGGGAGTGTGAGGATGAGTGAGAAAGGATTGAGTGGAAGAGGTGGGCGGTCGAAAGGCAGTGAGTGGGCAGGGCAAGAGATTTTCCGTGGGTAGGGCTAGCTTTTTCTGATCCTTTCTATTCAGGCAAGAAGGAGGAAGAAAGAATGAGGCAGGAACGATCTGAATTGTGTTAGTTGGTGCTGAGGTGAATCACGCATCGAGGGGTCGAGGAGGTGAGGTTATTCAGGGGCACACGTGACTGAATGAAATATCGGGAGTGAGGCTGGCAGCCACCTGTGAATGGCCTCGCACAGAATGGTAGCCTTACCATTATGTTAGTCACTAATTTGGTAGGCACTTCTGGTTGGTCTATTATGCGATACATCACGTGCTTTCTATGTCAGAAGCATGATCATATGCGTAAAGCCTCACCAGTCACCGCCATCCTTCACCTGCCCCAATCCGATCTCTCGCTTATCTGGCATTTGTGGATCTTTCCTGACAAGTCTGGAGATCTCTGGAGGTGTTTATTAATCGTGCTTCATGCAGAGGCAGGTGTTGCTGTCTTGGTGGTGTCTTCCACTTCGACGTGAGCCCAAATTGGACTTTGCAGAGCTACTTCGACAGGTTGATCAGGTAGTGAGGCGAGGGCCAACCGAACATCAAAGAGTATCCATGTAGTCAACTGGAATAGGACGTCTATTTAGCTTGTTCTTGCGACCTGGCCGTCCATCGGTTTCTAATCCATGATCTGTGTGTAGACATATTCAAAGGTAGTTGCAGATTGATTTTCCTTCAGTCTCATGGGCTAAAAAGTGGTCAGGGTACATGGTAGGCAACACGGGCAATCATCGTAACACTACAGAAATGGATCGTGCCTGCCATATGTAGTTCAACTCCAAGTAGGTGTTCTTTGGCCTTGACTGAGGCTTAGAGTTAAGATTATCCGTATATCCCAAAATTGTTCCGAGCCCGTGGCCTTCGGCCCGAAGTCGATGTCGTCAATAACCTCACAATTTGGAAAGCCTGGGATGACCTTGGTGACAACGAGCTAAACCACAACCAACTTCTTTCATTCTTTTCAAATGGGAAGAGATGCCTCAGCGAAATGTAGATTACTCTTGCCCGTGTTTGATCTTCATGCGTACAGCTCCATTGGCAGTCTTCGGGTGTAGTCAGGTTGCCGCATCAGCGGTTTGTGAATGGTTTTCCTACATTCCGAGACGGATGTAGTGAGCATTAGATTCCCATGCGACATTGATGAGATGGCAGATTCCCACGTGCAAACCACCGTTTGTGAGCGATGCTGGAAGTTGGCTTGGCCAGTGGCTGGTGAGGCTGGCTTCACGTGGCGAGGTTACAATACCTCAAACCCGGGAAGCCGGCTCATGTGTTCTGATAGAATCGATCCAATCGTCAAGGGACATTCCTGCCGAAGATCATCTTGGCGTGCATCAAGCCATTGCCGAGACGGGTAGACCCAAGTCAACCGATTGCCGACTGAATCTTGACTGGGAGAGCCGCACCTCACAACGAGTACATGTATTCGTAGGTCTGACGACCATGAGCCAAGAAGTCGCCAATGTGTCTCTGCCAGATTGACTTTCTGAAGTTTTGCTTACCATTCCTGTTTGTATCGCATACAACTTTTCTTGTCCTTATCTCGTTGTCTAGCCCTCGGCCGAAGAGAAATTTCGTCGTCGGCCATCAAGTCCTCACACAAATCGCCGCTGGGACTCGGAGATCGAGTCAACAGCTCGGCTGGGCAAAATTGGCACGCCAAGCCCAGCACAGGCCGGCGAAACGGTCCACCATCGTCAGCAGAGTCATGTAACGGTCTCCCTCCGGCACTCTTGTCTCGGCCCTTTTTCGTCCCAAAAAAGACCTCATACACTCCGAGAATCTCACCAAACAAGCTCAAATTTCGAACAACCCAACTATCTACAGACTGTACATGGCCACTTTGCCCGGCCCGCACACGCCCAATCTTTCGCTGCCTTGCATCCCATGTGGATGACCGTCAACATCCATAGTTGCGATGGCGTGGCCCAGCCTACATCTATCGTGCGTCAAGTTGAACAGAGTTTTGCTCTAGTCAGGGGGACTTGGGATGAACGAAACGAAATATTTTGCAGCCAAGACTATGCGCCCCAGTATCAGCAATCAACCCATACCCGTCTCGTCCACTTCGAGAAAACCACCATGCAGCCCGATGCCGTACGATGCCGTACGCGCGAGGGGTGGCTGTCAATAAGCTTGTTTGTGGGGTTTAGAGTTACATGATCTCCGCAATCATTCAAAGATCGGCCCTACCAGCCCCTAAAGACGATCGCCGTTCCTGTCTTAGTCCTCTTTGGCGTTCTCTGGCGTCTCCGCACCGTCATCAACCTCTGACTCTCGTAGGCTCTATTCTAGGAGCGCCGGAGTTAAAGAACACCAAAGAGGTTCTCGAAGGAAAAAGTAGCGCATTCCAGAGCCCTGGTGGAGGGTCTCCAGACTCCAGAGCCAAGAGGCAGAAGGGAAAACTCCCGGTAATTGTCCGCAGTGCATACACAGTCGTACTGCTGCATCGCGAACCAGAGCAACGACTCGCGGAGATCCACCGAGGCCACGACGTCCGAAGCCGGACTTCATCCCGTTGGTGTTTTGGACTGGCAAGTCAGGGATAGTCGCCAAGGATGCGCCCATCTCTGCGGGGGAATGGTCCCATAGTGCCAAGCCAAAGAGCAGACATTTTTGGCTTCATCAAATTTCACTACCCTTTCACACTTCTCTACTGCCCAGTACCCACGACTCGTTCGGCTCTACTATGATCTCCGCTGCCCGCATAGTCCGTAGTCCGTTACCAAGACCAGCTTACCATCCGCCCGGTGTCAACCCAACTACCGGCCGACGCTAGTCAACACCAGTAACGGTCCCATGGGCAGCTCCGACAAGAGACCATGGCCCCTAAGTACCAAACGTGTGATTCAAAACGTCATAGCTTCATGGTCCCTGTTCCAGTGAAGTGGGATATTATGAACTAATAGACGCCAAGCCTAATGGCTTGTCGCGGACGAACCGACGCAAAATGGGTACAGAATAGCAGCACGATAAAGAAGCTTCCCGTCCCGCTGCCGCCGCCGAAGCTTCCTTTACCGTTGCGGCTTTTCTCACTCCTTTGACGGTATCAGTCTGAGCGGCGGCAACTCCTCCTACCTTCCCTCCAGCCAAGTCGTAGTCCTCGGGTCCCAAGCCGCAAGCATGTCTCTCATCAACGTCGACCTCCACGCCCTGGCGACAGGAGGCGCCGGCTACCTCGCCTCCATCAACGCCGGCGCCACCCTACCCACCCCGGCCATTTCCCTCCTGGCGTACCAGCCGGCCTTCGCAGACGTCCTCGGCCCCAACGCCACGGCTCGCAAGATCGTAGAAGTAGACTGGCAGGCATTCCACGAGGGCGGCATCTACAACAAGAAAGACAACTCTCTGTACATCTCCTCCAACTACAACCCCACAGACAACATCAACATCACCGTCCTCAACCTGAATGACTTCTCCATCAGAAGCACTCAGTTCGACGGCCTCACCGAAGCCAACGGCGGAAGCTCCTACTACCCGCCCGGCGCGGACCAGTCTGCCACGCCGCCCATGCAGGTCTGGTGCGATCAAGGCGACCTGACGAGAAAATCCCAGCTCCTTGCCGTAGACCCCAACACCAACAAGTCGGAGCCTCTCATCGTCGGCTTCAACGGCCGCAACTTTACCTCGCTCAATGACGTCCGTCAACATCCGGTAACAGGAGACCTCTGGTTCACTGATCCCCAGTACGGCTTCTTCCAAAAATTCAGGCCTGAATCCGTGCTCCCCACCCACGTCTACCGCTTCGAGCCCTCCACGGGTACAGTCCAAGTCGTGGCGGACGGCTTCCAGCAGCCCAACGGCGTCGAGTTCTCTCCTGACGGAAAGACGCTGTACGTCTCCGACACGGGCGCCATCACCACCGCCCCCAACCTGTCCGGCCCGGCCACTATCTACGCCTTTGACATTATCGACAACAAAAAGCTCGCCAACAAGCGCGTGTTTGCGTACGCGGATAACGGCTTCCCTGACGGCGTTCACGCTGATACTGATGGTAACGTCTGGGGCGGCTGCGGCGATGGCATCCACGTCTGGAACCCTGAGGGTGCCTTGCTTGGAAAGATTCACTTGGGCGAGACGTCGAATAACTTTGCTTTCGCCCCGGGCAAGGTCTTTGTCTTCTCCAACCAGCGTCTGTGGGTTGTTGAGAACCTCAAGGCGCTCGGGAGAGAGGTCTGCAAGGATTTCGGTGCGGACTCGGATCCCAGATGCGCCAAATAGAGCATCGGGTACCTATAGAGCTGTGTTTTAAAAGTTTTGATACCATATTCCCAATTTCAACTTCGATTCGACCTCAGAGCATCCTGAACATTTCCATTTGATAGGTGATGAACACACGGCATGAAGCTGACTTCCACGAGCTGCCCCTAGGATGGCATTGCGGAATGAGATGAACATCGAAACACAGGCATCTTCCGCGACTAATAGTCTCGTCACCATTCTTGGAGTTTGATTCTTTGTTCAGAAGGAGGATACTGTTTTCGAAATGCGTTGTCTTGTACCTACTTTTCCAAAGTGCTATTCCAAAGGCCCGAGGCTGCAATCCAGTAGCTAACCACCAGGCATCAATCCAAGCAACGTCCCCCATACCATTCCATCCATACTACAAGCCCAATTTCATGATTCCAAGTCTCTTTGAGAGTCAATCAAGTTTTTCGATGAAGGGGGATTGTTGGTATCCCTGTCACAGGATAGTTGATTCGAACCGTCCGGTTCTGTGGGCGACGAAGGGGCAATTGCTGTCTATTGATTGATTCTGCGTAATGATTTAAAAGGGAGGTTTAAACCTTAGGTTGGAAGGGCAATTGACGTCTAACTGAAGGTCGAATTGGCCCTCGCGTTGCCCCCGACCCACAGTCGAATTGGACTTCCAATCCGACAAATCCCTGATTCCTGGGAAGGGGCGGTGAAGTGAGAACAGAGGTGTTTGTGTGTAAGCATGAGTCCAGAAGCTCCATGCCCAATTGACTGTTCGATAGGGTTTTCGATCACCGAGAGTACGACCTCATTCTTCCCGGTCCGCAAAGGCCTTCCTTCGCGTGTGTTTGTCGTCAAAACCACGCCCGATGGATGCGAGCGGGATCCGGAATGGGATTCTCGTGGTGATTCTAGCCACCGAGGGGTACAAGCCCGACTCCAGAAGCTTCAATACCCATTGGCTGTCCGTCGCCAAAACGAGACTCAATGACGGGAGACAGCCTCGGAGTGAAATCTCCTTGGTGATCTTGACCATCGAGGGGATCAATAATTGCTTCGAGGGAACGGAGGAAATGAAAGCAGAATGAATCAAGCTTCCGAGGCAAGAAGGTGAAAGACAAAAAGGGGAAGTGTGAGTAATTAACCTTCTTACCTCGGAAGCTCCGTTACCTCTGCCAAAGCCTCGGGGAGAGCCGCCGCCAGGATCATGGAATCAAGTCCACGGGCCCCGAGTGTAAGACAAGGCCGTGACATTCGGCGTGTCGAATGGGGCAATAAATGCCTCTCAAGTCTCTTACTCGAGAGGTTGGGAGGCGGAAAAGGAAAATGCTCTTAGGCCAGGCCTGGCCTAGAGTTAGAAATGGGCTGATGGTCCCAGCCGTGGCTGGCAAGTCCAACCTCTTCGAGCAGAGCTTTCCGGGTATCACAATACCGCCTTCCGAGAGAATAGAATCCCACAAATCGGCAGTCCGCATACGAAGATGCGGTTGGTGCGGGTGCCGTGCCTGTGATCTCTTACAACAGGACAAGGCTAAGCTGTTGTTCTAAGAGTGGTCTTTCGAATATGTCTTTGTAGTCATTGTATTCAAACAATAACGCCAGTCGGAGAAGCAGAGGCCGGGAGACGTCCAAGGGGATGTCTTTGAAGGCAGTCGCGTTTGAGGCTGGGCTGAGCGACGCAAACTTGCGCTTGGAAAATGTAAGTGGTGATTCGAGCAGGTTTCCGATACCCAAATCGTTCCTGTCGGATCCCCACCCCATAGTACTCCAAGACGGGGCGCGCATTCTAGGAACTATTTTCTGCTCCAAGGAGAAATGGATTTGTGGAGGCATTTTCTCTCCTTGGAGCAGAAACCGAAATATCATGGCAGAAATTGCGACGAGCTCAGTTTGTTGAGACCTTGTAAGAGCGTCCCCCCACCACCCCCCACCCCCCGGCGATATGAATAGAATGTGAGGATACTACTCAGTAAATATTTCGAGCAGGGGCAGTAGTATTGGAGAGACATGACGCGCGGCGGCAGCCATGAAGCTTTTGTGGATGATATTGCACTCGCTGCTTCTAAGACCTGAGTGAGGGGAGTCCACGACTGAGACTCCGAGGTAGTTATAGAACAGTCCCAGGAATTCGAAAAAACCTTCGAGTTCTCAGTCGTGGTCAGATTCAACCCAAATCCTCCTGACAGATGGTTGAAATGGAAGAGGAAATCTTCCTGTAACCAAGTCAGCGATGCACACAAACGAGTGATGTTGAGTGAAGACGGACTAATTTGGGATCTTGGAGCACAGAACGAGTTGTTCGAAACCTCTTCTTTGCAGACATCTGAAAATCCTCCTCTCCCGCCACCCACACATGCATGCAAGCTGATTGGGGCAGTGGGTAGGTGGAGGAGGAGGTTGGATATTTGAGCATCTTGGTCGTTGAAGCATGGATCGAAATCAAAGCTACGGGCCCTTGAGTGGAAGAGTGAGAGCCACCTCAGTGTGATGACCAGCCTAGAGACGCAGGCCAGTGCCTGTAGCTTTGAGTCGAGAACCATTCCGTAGTCCAAAGAAAGACCTTTGACGATCGAGGACAGTGTTGTTCGAACAATATTCTGTGAGTGGTTGGAGCGCACGACGGAGGGACTCGTCGCGTGGGAGCTTCTCCGTTTGCTTAGAAAGCTTCGAGACGGGACTCTGTAGGGTGGGTTAGAAACGAGATCATGCCACTGGAAGATGCTTTGTTCATGATGGAGGCTATGTCGAAAACAGGCGGTTACATGGCAGACAGACTGAAGGCATGGGTCTTACCTGGCCTTGAATGGGGCAAAACATGTGTAACGAAGCAGAGTTGGAATCGTGAACCTACCGGAACTGAGATTGCAAGTTCTGGCAGCGCCAGTGGTGAAAAGTAAATTGTGAACAATCGGTTGTAGTCATCGCTCGTATCTCCTTGGTCGTTTTTCGTGATCGTCCCTGGACCGTTGTGATTGCCGTCGTAAGGAACGGAACCGTCCACTCGAACAGAGCAGTTGGGACTAGTACCCTTCGTCAATCTTTGTGTAATCTGCCCCAATTTCTGGAGGCCGCAGGGCATTCCAGTTGTGGAAGCTTTCTGCTTTCACGACGTTAGCAAAGCTCCCAGGGCAAGGTACGAAGGATAGCTCAGCTAACCTTTCGAACAGTTCTCTTTGGGAGAGAAGTAATAGGCGGTGCTTATGTGTCAAGGGAAGCTTGCACTCGTCATGAGAAAGGCAGTCCAAAGACCCTTAGTACTGAGGATGGCATCCATGGTGGATAATTCCAGTCGAAGCTGGCGAAAAGGGTGGGAAATTCGCAGATTAATGCTGTTTGGACAAAGAGAAGAGAAAAGCTTTTGAGTGTGGGAAGTCTGGATGGGGATTAGTAGGGAAGGGAAAGAAATATTCACTCCACACAGAATGTTTGGAAAGGCGAATGGCCAGGAATATCCACGTCACGTGCTGAGGGTTTGTTTTGATGTTTATTGCATGGAAGGAGGAAGGAACCGAGAGGGAAGGTGCGATGTGTGGTTTCAAGGCTGGCTGTTTTCAGCAAAGGAAAGTAAAGGAAGGTAGAGATGTGAAGGTAGAATAGTCCTAATATACCTGCCTTACCTGAGTCCATTATGAACCGTGAATAACGTGAAGCTACGCGGCTATTGAGGTCAATTTTTGCAGTTCCGAATGCTTTCACTTTGACGGTTGAGCCGGCCGACGAGGGTATCCTGCTTGAATTGTAGACGAGTTTGATGTGTAGCCTATGTGTTGTTGTCTGCGTTTTTATACAAGTAAATACGTTGGTTCAAATCCCGGTCTATCAAAATGCAATAAATCCTTGCAAAGATACAGGTTTCTTTCTCAAAGTCCTCATGTAGTGCATTTGATGTCACTCAACATCTCCCCTAGATCTACCAAATTTAGGTTCATGAATTGGAATACCAGCATTGTCATATAAGTGCCAGTTTCGGACACTTCAGCTTGGTCATACTCCCGAGCTCGTTTGCACATAAGCGTGGTGTCGCACCTCAATGCTGCCATCCTCCCAACGCTTGAACGTCATCGTCCGACTGCCTGATTTGGGGATATCCAGTGGAGGAAAGAGCGCAGGTGTTGGATGATTCATCGTATGCGTTTTCCGGACGTGGCAGAAAAACCATAAAAGATGACGGTAGTGGCAAACTGTCACGGTTGACACATATGGCTGTCGGTAGTAGAAAGCGTGTTAATCACCTATTGACGAACTTCGAGCCTACATGTGAGGAGAACATGAACACGACTCTGAGGCACAACGGGCCTGATGCCGGCGTCAGAGTTCTTCCGCCACCAACCACATGCCGTGGCCGGGGCGGAAGCCATTCATCGGGATATGGCCAACGTAGAAGTTGGGCAAGAGAACACACAGGTGAATCTTCGAACCACTGCTCTTGGCAGTCATTAATGTGTCTGCGCGATGCAGAGAGGCTTACGGCTTTTGCAAGACATCTCAACTGGCCCAAGGATGTCACTTCTCCTCCATAATGCTGAAAGTCACCAGATTCTAGCCAGGAACCAGGAACAGAATTTAGTCCTCTCCGTAGCACAAAGACGGACCGACTCAGAAGACTGCTTTGTAATGCGTGAAATATTTTCCGGCTACTTTCAAGAAGAGGTAGTCACAGCCACGAGAGTGATGTGGGACCAGCAGAAGATCGCGGGAAAGAAATACCACTTTTGGTTCATGAGGCAAAGTATGCCGACTCCTTGACGTGATACATAATCCTAGTCCCAATCTCTGACTAACATGAACACCCAAAGGGCGGCATTCCACATCAAAATCCCTAGTCATCCTGGAACCAAATCAAACATCATGCCCTACACCTCAATCACAATCATCGTCTCGCCCTACCACGTCGGCATCCCCAACCACCGCGTCGGCACCGGCCCCCACCGCATCCTCTACCACGGCCTAGCCGACAAACTCGGAAACCTCGTCCCAATCCGCTTCGTCAACATCGGCCCCGTAGATGACTTTGAAGGCGAAATCGGCCGCACATTTGAACTCCTTCGCCGCATCTCCTCCGCCGTCTCCCAGGCCGTCGCCGCACACTCCTTCCCGCTTGTCCTCTCGGGGAACTGCTACGCCAGCACTGCCGTGGCAGCAGGTCTCAACGCTTCCGTCCCGGACTTGAACGTCCTGTGGATAGACGCGCACGATGACCTGGATACACCGTCCACAAACGAGAACGGGTACCTTGATGCGATGGCGCTGTCTATGGCGGCTGGGATGAGCTGGCATAAGTTGATGGGATCCGTGCCGGGGCATAAGCCGTTGAGTTTGGATCGGGTGGCGTATTGCGGGTTGAGGGACGTGTCCGAGCTACAGAGGAAAACAGTGGCGGAAACTGGGGTGGATGTTATCTGGGGTGATGCGGAGACCAAGGTCGATTTTGCAAAGGAGCTGGGGATGTTGTTGGATCGGAGGAGGTTTGAGAAGACTCATGTCCATCTCGATCTCGACGTTTTGGATGAGTCGTTGGGGAGGGTGAATGAGTTCCCTTCTCCTGGAGGATTGCATGAGAAAGATTTGATGGGGTGCTTGGAGACGATTCCGAGGAAGACGAGCCCGACGTCTTTAGTTGTGTGTTCTTTTAATGCAGAGTTGGAGGGGGGCGATACAGTGGCTAGGCTTGCAGTGAAGGGCATTGTGCAATTTGTTGAGAGGCTCATCGAGACCGAGGTCCTAAGAGCAGCTCCATGAGAGGTGACAGGTCTTTGTCCTGAGCCGGTCAACAGCTGGGTGTATCCAGACTTATATGCTGCTTAGCAAGGGAGACCACATAAATACACAAGTTGAGGGCCTCGTGGTAAAGATGTTGATATTGATACCGGCATCAAGTAATATGGCATCAGGGCTGGAACATAGCGAGGTAGCCCACGTCAAACACCACTGAGAGTAAGTCGAAACCTTTGCATCAAAGCAGGAAACGATTTGACTCGCGCCAAGGTGCCATCAGCCTAGACAATGGGTAGTGTACCTTGTGCTCCTCCACTCCGTACTATCAAATGATATAAGGTTCAGTCAACGTCAACGCCAAAAGCATATACATCTGCTACACCTCGTCCCGGCTTTTGGAAAATTTTGAAGTCACGTCTGGCGAGACTTCCAAACTCCAGGGTGCACCCACAGACGGGGAGAAATTCTCCTGACAGATTACAACTACAATCATGTTTGAACTTACCCAGAGTAGAAAGCAGTTCATGGACCTCAGAATCTTGGCCATGATACACCAAAAGATTGATATCAATGAGGTTTCCACTAACATCCCCAACCCCCTCTACGTGCTGGCGAGAGTTCTTGTGACGTTGCCAAGGACTAATTTGAAGAAGCACCAAAACCCAAACTCGCTGGTGAGTACGAATTTACGAGATGACCCTTCTGCAAATGTCTTGTCTGGGCTTGGGCATTGACAAATCATGATAGACTTCAACCATAATAGACCTCAACCATGATAGACTTCCAAGGTCGTCGATCACCTCCCAAACACCCCTGAGAGTGACCTCGGATTCTAATCTCTCAGCACAAAGGCCTCATCGACCAACTGTCACAGTTTTGTGTTTTTACTCTAATGTCCCATTGACCAACAGAGTCTCCTGTCTCTGTCTCGGACCTCCCGTATGCCCTAGTATGGTAGTTGGTGCCACCGAGGATGGCCGTGCGTATCCGAGAGCATGCAGACAGCTTCGGATGCCGACCTCGTGGCGGTCTGACAGGCTGCAGCTACTAGCGCCGGGAACCACCCATCAAAAATAGCCTGGCCCGTTGTGGGATATCTCAGCGAGAACCCTCGCAGCCTCACTGCCGACAGAGGATACGCGAATGCTGACAGCCGCCTCAGACTGCCAGCCCTTGCAGAGGACGATGCCTCACGAGACTGTTATGACGCGGCGCGAGGACAGGCTAGACGAGCCGATATACGCGCAATACAGGTTCTCACACACAGTGCCCTCGGGGCAAGGCATCGCGCCGCACATCAGACTCCTGAGTATATCAGAAGACATTCTCGCGACGGTACACGGCGAACGCGATGTTCTCATTTGGAATGTCAAGCTCAACTTGCCTCCTCAGCGCATCGAAATTGACATCGTCCTCGACCACATTACGGGCATTGCAATCTCTCCGGCGAGCAGCAATGTTATCGCGCTGTCGTTCCAGTTGGGCTCCAAATGCGAGGTGTGGACGTTCAACTGGGCAGACAAAACCCCCGAGGCAATGTTCACGACGGGATTGGACTTCCACTCACCACAATTTTCGCCTGATGGTCGCTTACTCGCGTGGATATCGGCCGGCTGCGTGGACGTTTGGGAAACAATCATCGACACGCACGTCCAGACAATCAGCGAAAGCAAGAAAGTAACCAGCGGCCGGCCGGTTTCCAGGTTCGCATTCTCGACGGATTCAAGTCGACTCGTTACAGTGGATCGGTCGGGAAGGCTGGTAAGCTGGGACATCGCAACATGGTCGTACATTGGCGAATCGAAAGCTCAACCGGCGATGGACAACAGCGGGTGGGAACCAGTGCAGCTCGTTACAGATGCTAGGCGTGTCATGATGGTCTCTCGCGGTGTAGACGGCGAAGTTCCGCAAAGGTGGAGGTTGACAACATGGTGGCCGAGTAGCGGTAACAGGGCGGAACTCGAGATGGACGGATGCGTGTATGGTTGCGTTCCTGGAAATTGCGCATTTGTGGCGACGGTGCAATCGGACGGGGGAAAGCTGCGAATTCGAGACGCGAACAACGGCATGTGCTTCGACCAGTCGACTCAAGGCATAGCGAAACGTGGCAAGACACCTTCGGTGGTAATGGGGGATATGGTGATGAGTGGAAAGATTATGGTAACGCAAATTGCCAACGGAAGGACGACGATATGGCAGTTGGTGGCCACGGAATAGGGCTCGAAGCACGACAACGCGGACACGACTCAGAGTAGGGCACGATGTCTTGGCTGTGAAAGAAGGCTTTGCACTAAGACATGTACCAAACCGAGCAGAACCCGATAACGGCGATTGTCTTCTCATGAACTCGCTGATTCTGGACAGCGAAGCGAAACCCAAGCTAAAAGTAGGCGGGGGTCGTCTTGATATGGCCTAGTCGCCGGGAGAAGATGTGGATTCGGCGCCATCTCACTCAAAATTGAACTTCAATTTCCATCAGGCAATGTTGACAAACTATTCTGCTGGACCGGCGCCCGCCTGCTCTTGTCAGGTCTTTCAGTCAACTTGGTACAGTCGGAAGCTACTATCCCTGTTCGCCCATACTTGAAGGACAATGTCATGTCCCCTACGTCTCCGAGTCAGGCCGCGTCATATATGGAGGACGGAAATCTACGCCGCATTATGACCGTGTTCTTCTCGCGTTCGCTCGCACGTTTGGAGGGTCAAGACGCCTGGAATTACCAAAAGAGTGACAAGACCTTGAGTGACAAAGCTCCAGGTGAAACCTAACCCACTTATTAGTCTATGATGGGCTGAGAGGCCGGCGGTTACCATACCGACAGCTTCAACCCAAGTATTGATGAAGCAAGGGACGAGGAACGCAGAAATTTATAGGCCGCATAATACTGAGTAAGCTTGTGTTCTTTTGCATCTCTTGTGGTACATAATGTACAAGAAGATTGCCTCACATTGTAGAGAACCCCATACAAGGATGTGGCTTCCAGGACTTGATCTGGAAAAGCAGCGATCGATTACGTTATCACTGTTACGTTTCCCATCTGCAATCCTGCAGCGACTGCGCCGTACATTAGCTAAGGGTTCCCGGATGAGGAGTTGTTTTCTCACAGATAAACAGAGCGAGCTCTCCTATCATGAAATGCCAACGGCGATCAATCGGAATACCCCACAAGATGCTTCCTCCCGCCCCGAGTAGTGCCGCGGGATATGCAAGCCATAGATACATCGCGGGTGCAATTAGATCATTCTTGCTTCTGGCAAGCCGGGACGCGATTTTGTCGGGCATCCGATCAGAGCACACAATTTCGATAATATCAGTGCCTAGGATGAGGCCAAGCCAAAGCAAACCCTGAGTTTGGGTGCTGAATTGGGCATATGCCACTGGCCCCATTATGAGAAAAGAGACGACCCTGGACAGATCCCGTTAGACAAAGGACTCTCGTAACATTGTCACCTGATTTTGGCAATGTAATCTTACCACCAATACTGGAAGAATATGTAAGGAATAATTGCACACATGAATTGAGGCTGTGCCATCAAGTGGTCTAACTTTCGTAGATAATACTAGTATAGCGACAACTATTCAGATCCGGCAAGCTGCCCAGCGAAAGAGGGTACTGACGAGAAAAAGCCAACAACCATCATCACATGAAAAGATATCGCGAGCTAAGCTCTACGCCTTTCTCCTTCTCCCCTGACCTTGCATTATTCCAATCATGCCCTGGAAATTGCTCACCCCGGAGCTTATCCCGATCACCCGGAACCAGATTGTGCTCCTTGCGTGCATCTTCATCGCCGCTCTATGGATACGGACACTTCGTCTCCAGGCGACAGCTAAGATCCCTGGCCCTTGGCACTTGAAGTTCACAAGCCTATTTGTCAAACATCGTGAACTGTTCGGTCAGAAAAGAGAGTGGGTTCACAACCTACATCTTCGATATGGACTCGTCGTTCAAGTCGCGTACAACGAGGTCTCTTTCACAAGCTACACAGCAGCAAAGCAAATCTACAGCTCTGGAAATAAGGATTTTCCAAAAACGGAGCTATACTCTCTGTTCCAGCAAGGCGGTCACATGTTAGTGCCCTGCCGCGGGAATGTTTTTGACACTTTTTGTGCCCATAGATCTGACATCTACAGCAACCTGTTCACAGCCCTTGACTCAGACACCGTACCTATGACACTCTCTTCCACAAATAAGCTCTGTGCTCTATGGCTAACGTAATCGATTATAGCATAGCACTATACGGCGCCATCTCGCTGACCGGTACTCCAACTCATCGGTTCTAGGACCCCAGATCATCGAGATGATAGACGAGCGGGCAGAAGCCTTTGGGGCGGTGCGTGCGGCATCAGATACGGCAGACATCTACGTAAGGTCCCCGAGGTTACCCGCATGAATGTGGTTTCTGACTGTGTGTGATGAATTATCAGTTTTACTTACATGCATACGCTCTCGATTGTGTGACCGGGATGTTGTTTCATCCTCACAGAACAAATTCACTTGTCAACGCTGGTGACCAGCAGATGGTCAAGTTGCTATCCTATGCCAAAACCCGAGAAGGTAGATTCTCATCAAATGCGTTTTGGAGTCAAGAAACTCTTTGGGACGCGTTCTTAACACTAACAAGTCTCGCAGTAACCTTCTTGCACCATTATCTGCCCCTACTTTCACCACTCTGGGAGGCTCTGTTCCCGAAGCTGGTCGACCTGGAACAAGGAAGCAACTTTTTGCGAAAGTTTGTGCAAGACTCGTTGGAAACCGGAGACCACTCCGACTTTACCGTGGCACGAAAGCTTCTAGAATCGAGCCATGTAAGCAGGCCCCTGGCAGAAGCTGAATGCCTCGACCACATTGGCGCTGGGATCGAGACTACAGGTGACACCTTGTGTTGGCTCATTTGGGAACTCTCTCAGCCTAGACACGAGGGAAGAGTCCAAAAACTTCACAACGAGCTTGTCGAAGCAGGGAATGATCGGCACCTTCACGATCTGCCCTATCTTAACGCTGTCGTTCATGAGGGCTTGCGTTTATTTGCCCCAGGAACGATGTTGCTTCCACGTTACGCGTCAAAACAAGGCGCCTTCATTGATGGATTTTTCATCCCCGAGAATACGATCGTGGCGTGTAACTCGTTTAGCATGCATCGCCTGGATGAGAGTACGTTCCCGGACGCATGTCAATTCGTCCCTGAGAGATGGTTGGATTCGGAAGACAACACTGATCGATAACGTTTGTTTTTTGTCTTTGGGCTTGGTCCACGGACTTGCATTGGGCGGCAGTAAGCTTGAATATTTTATCCACCTCGAGGGGTCAAGCGCTAACGCAATGCGCGCTTTGTAGTCTTGCTATGGCTGAGATGAGAGCTTGCTTGAATGCAGTCTACTCCAAGTATCGTACGAGACCCTCCCCGGATATGCGGTCGAGTATGGAGATGGACGATCAAGTTCTGACATCCCGTCCTCGAGATTTGTGTTGCAAGACACAGTTTGTACCTTGGGGACTAGGTGTGTGATTCATCCGAGCGCCTCCACAGAATGTAGACGACTGCCATATATTGCTTGGCAATCTAGCCTGGGTAGAGTAGCTCCAGATATGACTCCCAACTCGTCAACAACCTTCAGCTTCCAGAGATTTTCTCATGCTTGGAAGGGTGGCCGAGTTGGTTATGGCGCCAGGTTAAGGTCAGCTTAACATCTGTTTCCTGGTGGGGCAACCCGCGCGAGTTCGAGTCTCGTCCCTTTCAGAAGCACCTTTTTGCATGTCGTGGAGATATCGATATCCATTTTCCATTGACTTTTTAGTGCGAATTTGACCAATTCGGTGAACTCCGCCGATGCGTCTTTTTTTGGGTACGTACCTTGAGAATTGAGTTCCGCCTGCAAAAATTGTTAGTGCAGCGGAACGGACCAGTGAACGGGGCAGAAACGGCACAGAGTGGGGCATTCGGATACGAGGGACCTGTGAGAACTCTGCACAGGTGGGGCCGTCACCGACAATGTGCCGTGGACCAACCAGGGACGGCATTTCCTCGTGCACAGGCCCCTTTCTCGCCCGATTCATTCCCGATTATGGGTCCGGGCCTGGATTGATGTTTGCCCCATTCCGGACGTCCTCCGACCGGTCTTCCCAGTTACTGTCGACTTGTCTCCACGCAGATGTTACACTCGCTGAAATTGTTGGAACGCGCCATCATTTCATGAAGATTACGCTGCTGCAGCCTTAGCTTCGGGGCGCAACGGGAGACCCAAGCGACCCAAGCGACTCAAGATCCTCATAATATAGTGGCGATGGATGCTGCAGGCATGTGCGCACTGCGCAGCGCTGCCTAGCGCTGTAGTCCACTGTCCACTGGTCTAGAGGTGCAATGTACCGAGGTGAAACGCGGCATTTTGCACTGAATACTGGGACTGACGAGGAGATCAAGCCAAAGAGATATGTCGGAGCGGCAGAGCAATTGGTGAGACTCGACAATTGTTGGTTGCTGGTGGTCCTGTTCTTGACCAACCGTTGCCGACCGTTGCAAGTACGCAGTATGCAATTTTGTGGACTCGAGGCTCTTGGACGACGTGGCCTTCTTCTCGTGCGGACTTGCTCTGCTCCGCAATGCCTTGTCTTGCGTCGTACTATCCTACCGCTACGCGTCCCAATTCCCTCTCGTAATTGTCAACCAGACCATATCGATTCCTGGGAAGTGTGGTCAACAGCTGGCCATGCGCAGCGCATCTGAGCGTATTTTGTCTCGCAGGATCACAGCTGTGCCGTTTGCTGCTCATAGCGATCGGCACAGAAATTGGACGTCGGATGCTTTTCGCAGACACCGACCACGTGAGCGGTGAAAGCAGTTTCGTCTCCGACCAATTTGCTCGACGGATGCGCATGCCGCCCAGATAAGAGTCCGGCTGGCAACTGTCGACCTCCAAATGGTGCCGTATCTCTGGGTTGTTTCCGCAGGTCTGGCCGCAGACTTGTTTCGTAAAGCTAACTGCGTCTTATCTTGGGCGATAGGCGATTGCTGTTTTCGAATGGCGGCCAGGCAACCAGGAGCGACAAGGGGTTCAAGGGGATTCCTCGGCGTCCACATTGCCATCCTTGAGCCTCGAGATAAGCAACCACAGCAGTCTGGGGTTCCGGTAGGTCCCCCACGCAGTAATGGAGGAGGCCCCTTTCCGCCCCTACACCGAGTGGGCTTATTGATGGCCACGGTCAGCAAAGTCCCCATAACGTATCCGTTCGGGTAGTCGTACATTGCGCGGATGAGCAGGATGTCTTTCCCCGAGTCCCTGGTCCGAATGGGAAGCTACGCCGTATGCCTTACCGAGGCGGGTGGTGTTTGGCGGCGATAGTCCTATCTTCGAGGCGCGCTGGCGCGGTCTGCGACAAGTTGACATCTTGGTCAGGAGACACTTGTGGCGTTATCAAATCGGTTTCCCGGCGTGTAGGCCCCGTGTTTGTAAATATCGGGATAGCCATTGGTCTCGCTCAGTCTATACCGGATGACTTTCCTGGATTTGGGAAGACGTCGCGTGATCTGCGTAGGATCGATATTCCCGAGGACTGACAGTCGGTAGTTGGAGATGTGTTCAGGGCTAAACGTCGTCGTCACTCCTGTCAGGGCGGCCTGCTTGTCGGCCGCCTTCGTTCTTGCAAGTACCTCGCTAACAGGTAACAGAGTCGGTAGAGTCGGAACTGATGTTTCTCTGCCTAGCAGTACCTTAGCCCATGGTGTATCGATGCCCTTGTGCCGCCCAGCACGCTGTATCAAGGATCTGTTCCGATGAGATGTTGGTTGCTTCATCTTCCATGTGAGCTTCCCCGGCTGTGAACAATTCTTGTCTCGCTTGGTGCCATTACTCCCTGAACTACTCGCACGGGTGGTGTAGCCGGCACAGAGAAGAGCTTACATACATAGGGGATATGCCTTGGTCCCGGTCGATGGTAAGGATTCGAGAATCAGGGATTGATGCAGCCGTAGTTCGCATCCTGCATTCGAGCTAACATGGACCTGTCTGGAATAAGGAGTAAAGATCGTCGTGAATGGAGAATGGGAGAATTTGGCGATGACCCAGGATAAGATGGAGGCGCCAGAGAGATGCGGTTGCCGCAAGGCTGGAGAGGATCCGAGGCGTCGGTGGAGGAAGGCACGGGTGGGTCTGGTCATTGTCAGCCTCGAGGAAGCCACGATGCGAGGCAGGCGCGACGACGGAAGCTGCGCACCTTCCGTTTCTTCCCAATAAAGTACTATTCGCAGATAGGTAGAAGGAACCCAGGAAAGGTGCAATGTCCCCCTTCCTGAGTTGCACCTTCCCGCCCACTACATCTGAACGCAACCACGTGCTTCCGATCCGACGACATCTTGCCGCATTTCTCAGGCCCGTGGCGGATGTATCCGTAAGGTCAGGTACGGAGGTTCACTCCACTCAACTTCATGTCAAAATACGCCAGCGAACGTGTCTCTCTTGGTCTTCAACGCCACGTCGCATCCCGCTCTCGTCGACAGCTGTCGTGGTCTTGGCGCCTCTAAATAACCTTCCTCACTTGAAGACCTACAGTGGGGTTCCCTATGAGACGCCCTCCTGTCCTGGACTACTCCCGATTCCCCCATGTACCTTGCCTTGCCCTCTCGGTTCTCGCATGGCTATCTGCTGCTGCACTGCACTGCAACGGAGAAACTAAACGCAGATCTCGTCCAGGGCAAATGTCGGTTCTTGAATGCTGTTGGTCACCGCCATGTGATGACCTCGCTAATTTGTTTCCAGCTGCGGCTCAGCGGCACCTAAATGTTTTGACGTACGGGAGCGAAGGATGAGGAGGAACCGTTCTCGAGACCCTGCGCGCGTGTCTGCGGGCGTTCGACCAGCCTTACCAAAGCCACTGACCAGGTACACCTATCTGTACGCTGGTATCCTTATTCTGCGTACGAGGTCTCAAATTCAACGTCGCTTCGTCTAAATGGCTTTCGGCCGTGGTTGTGTCGGCCTCTCCGGAAAGGCAGTCGAACCTTTTACGGCGCCCGAATCATACACTCTCTTTTGGGACTCCGCCAAGCAATTTGTCGGTCTGCACTCGGTGTGTTAAATCTCGCTCTCGCCATCCCCACTTCACCAGCGACCGTCATCGCGCGCGCCACACCCGCTTCCATCAACAGCCAGGCGTTGCGCATTTTCCCGCCCTCGCTGGACCTCATTGGAAAGCCATTGAGCTGATCATGATGCAAGGCTATCGATCTGTTCCATCATGCCATTCCAGCCTTTCCCCGGATTCGATACGTATATACGTATCGTGAGTGTGCCCCTCCTGTTCAGCCTGGCAGTGGACAGGGTCTCCAGGGTCTAAGGGTACCAATTGCGCCATCAGCGAGCCTTCAGGCTTCAGCGCAAGTGGACGACCCAGCATGGCGGGACAAACGTCGACGTCCTTGTCGCGTGTGCTGCGATCGGGTGTCATCCCCCCGGACTGGCCTGGCTTTCCTCCACCAAATAGCCGGGTTTGGCGCTGAGCCGGCTCGACAGGTGCTGAGGGAGAAATTCTTGGCTTGACGACTCGTCTGTCTTTCCCATCAAGGAACCGACCGCTTTCCTCGCATCCCGACGACAAACATGAATTGTACACCGACAGCCACCGACGATTGTCACTGACAAGTATCTCACCCGCGTTAAGCCGGCGCAGAGATACTCTTACGTACGACTCGGCTTGGCTCTAACTTGGTGCGGCAGGTGGGCGGATCATCACTGGAGTCCCCTCTGTGACATCAGCACCTATTCAGGGCCTCCTCAGAGCCACTTCAGAGCCACTTCCCACGGGAGCTTGCAGGCCTCACGATCCTAGTGGGCTTGGTTGTATCAGGGAATTGTTCAAGGTGTGCCACCCGACCCTTGTGTTGGCGCGCAGAAACAGCCTTGGGATTCCCTGTGCAGAACGGGGGGAGCCCCTGTCTCTCCCCCATCTGCTCCAGTCTCCTCCATTTTCCTCCATTTCTCTCCATTCTCTCTCCATCCAAGCGCGTCCACTTGGCTCACTTTTCAAACGCTCACTCGCTCGCTTTGCGACCGCCAACCGTGTCGTCCTCCACCGCCGTCGGGATCAAGACGGCAAGACGGAAGATTGAGAGACTCCACGACTCACACCGGGCGAACCAACGGTCTGTATTTGCGTGGAGAGCATGCGGCGCTAGTCGGGCAACTGGGACCACAGCACTACGTCATTACGCATTATGTGCATTGAGCAGGTCGAGGATGAGGACTGATGGAGAAATGGATCATCTCTTTGCTGTTGACGATTTTTTTTGTGCTGCCGCCTCTAGGCACTTGGTCCCTGATTGTTTCCCCTCGACAGGACGAGGATTATTAGACGTGAAGCACAAGCCGTAACCACAAAACGCAAGAACGTGGAGCGTTGGAGCCTCATCCGACGCCTCGCGGCTTCACGGCTCCTCGGGGTCCTCCCTTTCGGCGCCGATGGGAGAGGGGAAAAGAGGAGAGTTTGTGAGGAGAAACCTGAAAAAGAGCGTCGACA